TCGGATAACTTATTTTTCGGATAACCAATTATGTACGAAAAAATATATTAATTTATCCCGTGTTGAAATTTTTCTCCGTTGCGTGTCGCTTCGCGTTGAATTTTCGTCGATGTTAAGCCTAACGAAGACTATTGTATCGTTAAAAATTATTTTTTTATTTTGTACAAACAAAATAAATATATTGAAAAATATAAAAACAATAAAAAATTATACTTCAGAAGTTAATTTAGTATCAAAAACGCAAAATATTTGAGTAGCCGAAGACATAGCCAAAGATTACAGCGCCACAGCACTGGCGAAAATTTAAATTTGTCGACTGGAATACTTTCGGATAACCGACGTTTCGGATAACAGACCTTCGGATAAACGACGCTCTACTGTATTCATTTACTGTTCATTGATATAAATTAGTAAATATATAAACACAATACTTTACTTATCGCTTGTTAATTCTGTTATTTTAATATAATTTAGTTAATCTACTGCATTAATATTTGTAAAGTTTAAAATATTTTTTGAATTATCAGAAGACGAGATATGTTGATTTAGTTAATTTTTCTGTTTTTGTACTTTTGTGTATATAAATATACATAAAACATATCACAAAAAATAATATGTGATATTCACTTTTCATTATAATTATCACTAACACAAGCATAAAAAATAAACAGTTAATAATGAATTATTAATAGATTCGTAAAAATATAATTCTATAAGGTTAAAATTTTATTCTAAATACAAATATCCTTAAACAGAATTAATGCTATTTATTCTGAACAAATAAAAACTTGTAAAACTAACTTTTGTCTGTATAAACATCGGAGTAATTAATTGCTAGTAAAATTAGTACTTTTCTTATTGCATCCATCTTAATTATAGATTAACGGGAAATTAAGTCTCAAATTAACTTAATTGGCTGTTAACAATTAAAAAATTGCTTTTAAGACTATTATTATTAATAGACAGGGTTTAGATGACATCACTAAGACATCAAGTAGTTAAAATTTATAGTTTTTTTAAACAGTCATCTTCAGTTTCAGTGGTAATTTCTAAGTAATTCTATATCTAATGTTTTTGTTTTTTTCTTTTTACTAAATTTCATCATATACTTTTTTCTGGAACTATTTCAGCTTCACATTACAGATTAGATTTAATATGTAATTCATAGTCAATCGAAACTAACTAAATGGAAATGCATGTATACATCATTGACCAAAATACTTTCGTATGCAAATAAGAACAAAATTATTGATAAATGTGTCATGTGAATATAATAAGAAATACAGTTCATTGAACTAGCCTTATAAAAATTATTTAGTAGTCTATATTAAATGTCAATAAAAAGAACTAATAATACTTTATGGCATGTGTTTAGTAATGTTTTTGTTACCCTTGATATTAATCTCTTTTATAATCTGCCAAATTCTTTAAAAGTTTATACGATTGAGTTATGAAAACATTTTTTAAAAATAGTTAAATTGTACTTGTTATTGAGATTTTGATATACCTATTTTGAAATAGTCTTATTTATCTCCAAAATCAGCTCACCGTTGCTCTAACGCAGAGAGTATATATGCGCTCGCCCGATTTGACAGACTTTTTTCTTCGTGGTTACCGGAAAACCTGGTAGAAGACAATAAACCCTAACAATCCAACAGCTTAAAGACAATATTCGAGAAGAAATTCAAGAGCAGGGCCACGTGTGTTAAGAGTTGTTATGGAAAATGCCATTAGAAAGAGTCCGGTAGTTGCGAAGCGAATAATGATGGTCATTTACGTTAGCATCATGTTTCATTACACATTTAAAAGAATTTCCACTTTCTGTACTTTGTGCTTATTTTTTAATATAATAAATAATTAACAAACCAAAAAAACTTATTCAAATTTTAAATGGTAAAGCGATTTATATACCTACTTTGATAGTTAAAATAATACAGGCCACCCTGTGTACATATAACTACTTAAAAACATGGAATCAAAAATTTTTATCATTCAAATAAAATTGATAATTTGATTGCGAATGTAATTTGAGTATTTAATGATAAGATTCTGTTAACAATTTAATAAGAAGATTAACAGCAAAATAATTCAATGAAATTTGTTTGTTGTAATGATTATTTTCTGTTACAATTTTTAAAAAATAGGCTATACACAATCCATATATTTCTTACAGAAAATAGATTCAACTCTTGTTAGCAGGTGATATACTATATTAAAAAAACCTAGAATTATATAATTTTTTAATAATATTTTAATATATTGTATTACATATATATATTTGGCCCTCGGGCCTTAATTGTGTAATTTGCCCACTATGTCTTATGGGTCTATATATATTAAACACAAACATAAAAGTAAACACAATTTCATTTTCATTTTAAAAAATGAATTTAATATTTTCGTAATGAATTTTTCGTTACTTTCTTTTTAGTTAAAACTCAATATTTAATTTAACTTTCGTAATCTATAAAAAAATATCCTAACAATCTAACATTAGATTACTGTAAATCAATACAGTTTCTAACTGTAAATTTCTTAGGTGATGATGAAAAGTTTACAGATTGACTAATTAATTTGAGACAAGAACATCATGGAGATTAGAGAAAAGATAATTTGTTCTTAAAATAATTTCTTGTTACGAGGGTTTAAAAATAAAAACAAAATATTCGAAAATAATTAAAGAAGACGGAAATACTTTATATATAATTGAACAGTAGCCAAAAGGATATAAGATTCTTCAAATCATTTTCATGTTAAACACCTTTTTCAAACGTGAGAACTTCAATAGATAACGATCCTGTTTACGGCTTCACCTCTTTGCCCAGATGTAGATAACGTTAATACGCGCCACAAAAAAGCCTTGTTTATTTATGGCGGCAAAGCTTCCTCTTTTAACGGTATTCACTTGGCACTGCATTTGCTATTTTGTGAAAAACGTAGATGGGTTGGAGCCTAATTTTGACAATTCCTCTTGCATTAAATCAAAGAGAAATGGGTCAACTTTTCTTCACGAGAACTGCAATCGACCGAACTTCTCTAACAGGGATTAAAGTATTTCCTTTTTTGAATTCGTTTCTTTCCGACAAAAATCGAATTAGAATTTTTATTTTTTTGAATATAAATCTCATTCACGACCTTCGCAGACAGCTTAATGCCTCTAATGATACTAAAAGATCGGAATATTTTTTCAAAAGTTTTATTTATTTTTCAAATAACACAAAAAAAAAGTAAAATAAAATAAACTTTAATTTCATTAATTTCCGGGTTTCGTCGAGATATATTTTTCTTAAGTAAATAAACCCTGCACTTAAAACTATATATCATCATAATTCTGATTTTAATATGTACATTAAAATATAAAGTTAATATTTATGGTAGATAAATTATGCATGTTTAATTAAATTTAAATATAGTTTCTTTTAAATATCATTTAATTTTTTTATTTCTAACATGATTATTGATAATTCGATTATCATCAACATTAAAAGTGATTTTTACAGGTCTTACTGAAAGGTTTCCTTAATTTAAATCATGTAAACTCAAAAGATTTACGTGGAATAATGTATAAGATTGCCAAAAATTAAAAGGTTTTGTTTATCAAGAGGGGTTAATCCCACTTCAAGGCTTCAACTATTTTTAACTGACGTGAATAATCCTAATTTATAGATAATATTTTGTGAATTCCCAGTCATAACTTATCCTTAATACTGAAATAGTGAATTATATTCTAAATTTAATCAACAAAATTATAGCAATATTTTTATTTCAAAAAATTAAATAATATCAAAATTATTTAAGCTTAAAAAGAAAATTTGTAAAAATTTATATTTAACTTTTAATACGTTAATAAGTTATTAGCTTAACTTTTAACGTATTATTTTTTTATACTAAAAATAAGAATAAAGAAAATTAACGATAACAAATTTCATGGGGGTAGCAAGCAACATATATGTTAATCCCTTTTATATTATAGTATTGTACAAATATTTTCTTATCTGCGTACGTTGTACAATAAATAAATAGTTATTATTTTTATTATAATTTATTAAAAAAATAATATACCTAAATTTTATTTTATCAGATACTACTCAATATAATAATTGAAGTGCTTGAGGCAAGAACAACTCGTTTTTTAAAATTTCTATGGGAAAAAAACACCCTAAAATTCCGAATTTGCCCTGTATTTTGTTGAAAATTGTCGAATTTCTACACCATAGATATTCTATGGTGTAGAAATTCGACAATTTTCAACAAAAGAGACTGAATTAATACGTTCTTGCCTCGAGGTCTTCAATTACTGTATTCGCAGATCAACAGGTTTAATTCTATTTATGGAAAAAAAATATATATATATATAATAAGTCTCTGCATTTAATATTTTAGAAATTAATACATTTTTCGTTTTCAATAAATGTTTCCCCACTTTCCACGACTTTCATTAATAGAACGTCGAGTCTTTTTAAGTTTAAATTTCTTCTCAACATCTTCGGCTTACCAATGACAGAGTGGATAAAACCACTGAACACGCATGGGTTTGCGCCACGTGGAGCCTTCCGGGTTTTCATTACGTATTTAACACCTAAAAAGAGACTCGTTTCCCATAAAAAGTCTTCCCAGGAGACGTCTCTTGGCAGATCGCCCGTGTTTACGTTGATTATTCCATTAATCCTATCCTAACGTCTTATTTATTATTATTTTTTTACATTAACTGAATTAAATTTTACTATCTATTCATTGAATAATAATATATCGCAATTTAAAAATGTATATTACATAAAATAAAAAAATTCTCCTTTTTTTTCTAAAGCTCTCTCAATGCCAAGTTTTAATGCATAAAATTTCATCAAATTGTCAGTTTGTCAAAAGTATGAAAAAATAACGAGATTTTTTTTAATAAACTGCAAAAATTTCATTAAATAGGCTAATCATACAGTATTTTGACTAGACAAGATTAAAATACATACGGTATATTTAATCATTGTTAAAATGTATCTACTCACGTGCTTGAGGCAGATCCCTGTCGCTTTCTTGTAATCTGATGCGGTTTGGGTTCTGATACCATGTTGACATCTGAAAAAAATTATAAAAATACTTAATTATGAAATCAATAAGATAGTTTCACATTAACTATTCAATAAGTACTATATCATTATTTGAAACTACCTCATTAGTATTTGAATTCTAATTATCATATACAGATTAATGTTGATAATTAAGATGAATATAGAATAAGTATTAATTATTAATTACATTTCCAATAACAAGTTGCTTAACTAGTTCATAAATCATAAGAAAAGTTTGGCATTTTAAAAGGAGGATAAATTTTGACTGAGCGATGGTAGTTTTGGTCTGATACTGAGTTAATCTGATTTAAGTTTCTGAAGAATTTGAATTGTTTGTAATAAGTATTTTCTGTATTTTGAAATTGTTTGAATTTTTCTTTTTATAAAAATAGGATTTTATTAAAAGTTTTAAAATTTATATTGAAAGAATGTTATTTTTGAAATTCTTTGATTTTTACTTTCTCTGTAATGTATATAGCATTGGAAAGTATTGCAATTGTCAGAT